TTTCTCTCTTTCCTCGTTTTCGTACTTCCCCCCCCCCCCCCCCCCCCCGGCCTGCCCATTTTTTATACCCCGGTTCTCTGATGTTCATTGGACTCTGGCTGTACCACTAGTATTTTCCACGCGGATTCCTTGTTCATCTATAGTCCAAAAAAATCGTTCTTGTTGCCCTGTGGAGGCTCTTCTCATTCATCAAGATCAGCATGACAAGGGTATAGTGAAGTTTCGTAAAAATGACACCTGGGTGGAAATAATGACCTGTCATCAGCCCAATTCGACATGTACACGCTTCTTCCACGGAGATGACAATACCGCCTGATGTAGAACTAATTACTTTTTGTGTTTGCTCTGTAGTATCAAATTTGGTCTCCATCATAGAACCTGGTTGCAAATGTCATTCTGTATGTTTGCCCCCTAATAGACCAAGGCGAATTTCCCACTGAAGAAAATCGCGCATACTTTAGCATCTGGTATTGTTGAATCAGAATCCTGTATGAGCAAGACCACTACGGCGTACCGATATTATGTCTCGCCATGGGCAAAGTGATTGAATATGATTCAAATGAGAAACATAGACAACTTAGATTGGATCTTAGTCCACCGTTGAGATAGAATTAGGCTTGATGCCTGTCGTCCGCGTAGCTGTCATTGATCACATACCGGGCAGAGGGATTGTGTTGCCACCAGGATTCAAAAGTCATTCTCCAAGGTTTCATATAAAAGTTGAACAAGAAAGACATACAACATGATCTTTATATCGGTTTCTCTTAATTAAGAGATCATTTAATTTTAGTCAATATCCTTTTAATACATCTGTACCCAGTTATGTTGGATGTCAGTACGGAGTAGTAAATGTCCAAGTCTCTAGATGCCCAATACCAATCTTACCATACCACGCCCAATGACAGGTAAAAAAAAAAGAAAAAAAAAGAGGAAACCTCCCGAGGTCAGGCGTGACTGCCGTCCCCTGCGTTGAACCAAAGAAAAAAATACCCTTCTCACCGACTCAACTCTTTTCTTTCTCTCCCCCTTCTTAGCATACAACATATATCTTTTCCCTTAAATCAAGGCCTTTTGCCCTTGTTTTTAATTTCTTTTCGAAAATTTCCGGATTTTGGATTTTGGCTCATCTTCTGTTCTTGAGCCATTTCAGTACGGTCGGCAACACGTCTTTTGATCCGTTATCTCCAGGTATGCCTAGATCGAATTGTTCTGCTTTATTTTTGTTTTTTTGTTTGTACCTTTGACTTTCAGTTGTCAGTTTGATTTCTTCATTGCATCATTTACAAAGGGTGTTGGGTGTCTATATGTCTGTTGTCTGTGTTAGCTGATCTGGCCCAGCCTTCTCGAGTTGCCTGAGGCCCAGTTGTCAACCCCTCTCACTGGTTTCTTGTTTCTTTCCCTCGCACCTCCCTCTTCCTTTTCTATATTTCTGTACACCCTTCTATGCTTCATTGATCTCAGCGTTGCATACTTCTGCTTCCTCAACCGGCCTCGAACACAATCTAATATTCTGAATCTTCTAGCCTCCAGTCTTTTCTCACGGCTAAGCGCTGTGCCACCATCGGTTCAAGATGACGACCATGGTCAGTGTTAGCCACCCCCGATTTCTTTATCTCGTTCTTGACTAGGAGTCATACCTCAAGCCACTTGAGCAACACGCTCGGACTATACCCTGATTTTCGGATTGTCAACAAGACGCCCAAAACACGCGTTTTGACTGACATTGTCTCCAGGATTTGCGAGTCGGTAACAAGTACCGCATTGGCCGGAAGATCGGCAGTGGCAGTTTCGGTGACATCTATCTTGGTATGGAGATAACCAATCCGGCTTTACCCTGCACTGTAACTCATAACTTTTAGGAACGAACATCATCTCCGGTGAGGAGATTGCCATCAAGCTTGAAAGTGTCAAGGCCAAGCACCCGCAGCTTGAATATGAAGCTCGTGTCTATAAGTCGCTCGCCGGTGGTGTCGGTATTCCCTTCGTCCGTTGGTTCGGTACCGAATGTGACTACAATGCTATGGTCATGGATCTGCTGGGACCCAGTCTGGAGGACCTTTTCAACTTCTGCAACCGCAAGTTCTCGCTGAAGACCGTTCTACTTCTCGCAGATCAGCTCATTTCTCGCATCGAATACATCCATGCCAAGTCTTTCATCCACCGTGATATCAAGCCCGACAACTTCCTCATGGGCATTGGCAAGCGTGGCAACCAGGTCAACGTCATTGATTTCGGTCTTGCGAAGAAATACCGTGACCCCAAGACCCACTTTCACATCCCTTACCGTGAAAACAAGAACCTTACGGGAACTGCCCGCTACGCCAGTATCAACACCCATCTCGGTGTCGAGCAGTCTCGACGTGACGACATGGAATCTCTGGGTTACGTTATGCTCTACTTCTGCCGTGGTTCTCTCCCATGGCAGGGTTTGAAGGCTGCTACCAAGAAGCAGAAGTACGACCGCATTATGGAGAAGAAGATGACCACCCCCACCGAGGTGTTGTGCCGCGGTTTCCCCAACGAATTCGCCATTTACCTGAACTATACCCGTTCGCTGCGCTTCGACGACAAGCCCGATTACTCCTATCTGCGCAAGATTTTCCGCGACCTCTTTGTCCGCGAGTCCTTCCAGTACGACTACGTCTTTGACTGGACCGTTTACAAGTACCAGAAGAACGCCGCTATGATCGTCGATGCTTCCAAGAAGGATAAGGATGCTGAGGATCAGCAGCGCCGGCAGGCTCTGCCTGCTGCTGGCCAGATGGGAGCTAGTGGCACCGCCAAGCCTGGTGCCATCTCCAGCCAACGTCGTAAGGTCGTCGAACGCGGCACTCTCGACACTCCGGATACCAACCGTGCCGTGGGAGGTAGTGATAGGATGTGAGTACATGATACCTGGTTCCGAGTAGGGACCCCTTCTTTCTTATCTCCTACGTTGAGTGGTTTGCGTTTCGTGACGCTGGCGTGGAGGACCCTTATGTTCTGAATCTGACTAATCGCATAGTCTTCGGCGATAGGCTACGTTCTGCCTCGAAAGGTGCTGCTTTAGGCTATGGACCTTCTAGTGGCCGTTCGAAGCGGGACGAAGGAGCGGAGGCCCAGTGGTACTAATCGTGTTTACAAGATGGCGAGGCTAATGTTTCGCATGTGCCTCCTGTCTGCTCACATTCTTGCCAACTAAGAAACCGGGGACCCGTTCATGTCGCCTCAGAGCGGACCATGTCGCACTCAGCCTTCTCGGACTTTCCTTTTTTTCCTTGGATCTCTATTCATTCTGCACTCCCCAACAGCCCTCCTATCCCGTCTTCGATCTGATTTCGATCTCAGCCGTTTCGATTCGCCTCTGTCTATCGCCTGCTCGCCCTCAGTCCCATGAAACCTTTCCCGATTGGGGTGGTCAATCCTGCGTTGAGCCTGCGAAATCTTTGTCGATGATTTTCTGTTTTTCGGATTCTTGTACCCGTTCTGCGGGACAACCGATTACACGTCTCGAAACACTCCTAATGTTGTGGCTTTATTCTTACGTCTTTGCCCTTTGGTTTCTCTTAACAACCTGACAATTTTGGTCAGAATGACCAAAGGGCAAGACTAAGGGAGATGCAAACGACGGTGTCAGCCCGTAATTTATTTTCGTCGGATTCTTGCATCGCTGGTACTGGAGATCCTTGAATGCATCCTCGGATGCGCTGCCTATCATTGATTGCCCCTTTCCTTCACTCATGATGTTTATTCTCTGCCCCCTTTACCTTCCCTGTTTTTCTTATTTCTTTTTGCGTTTGCCCGACGATGATTAATTTGTGAACTATCGACGCTCAACGGGGACGAGGGGTGGCCTCCAATATGGCCAAAGGAAGATTGAGACGGGGACGGCTTTCGGGAGCATTGCTTTGGAGGCTTTCTGAATTTCTGCTCAAGCTACAATGCAGAATTTAATGATGCAGAAGGTCTCTAATACAATCTCGCTTTGCAGGAATCTGGTGTGGTTGGCGACGGACATTGGTTAGGGTCGCTTCCGGGGTGGTATGCGTCGATTTGTGTCAAGTTATTTCTCTTAGCTCTCTCTACACTGCACGTACAATTTGCTTACTCACATCTCAACTGTACCCGTGCTGTTCAACTGGCAACCAGACTTGAAATTTGGCCCTTCGCAACATCCGTATTTCCGTTCCCAAGATAGTAGAAAAACGGTGAGGTCATCGGAATTTTGGCTCATGCACCGAACACTCCTGGAATCGATTGGGGCTTGAGTGGGCATGTAAGCTTTGGAAGTATCTCTTGGATTTGGAGGTATACAGGTGTCATGACAACATTGAATTCTGTACAATGTTCAACGGAGCGCCCCCTTGGTGCATGAAACTTCAGCAGGCAATAGATTTTCCCTCAAAGTTTTCCCACCTTCACCTCCTAACTTTCCGACGAGCCTTGAAGACTTTGGAACTGTCTAAGATTCCGTAATGGATTACTCTTTCTATGATCCCAGATCACAACCCTCGGGCTTCTCGCTGTACGGGCTGCCTACCCCCGACCAACCCAATACCCAACCAGACACATTTGCCTCTTTGGTATGTTCTTATCTCTCCCCCCCACACTTCAAGAACTTGTAGCTAACAGACTGATATAATTACCAGAACTTTCCTGGCTTTGACTCCTCGTTCCCCGTCGACCCCTCCTTTGTTCCGCCACCGCACTCACCGCCAGAATCAGTCAAGCACTCTGCTTCCAGCGATGCTGCCAACAGTCAGCATGCACGTCTCACGTCATTCGATGGCGATGAAACTCAATTCGCCGATCACACCTTAGGGAGGAGTAGCAGCGAGGAAAAGGAATCAGCACCCGCGCAAAGCAAGCGCAAGGCACAAAACCGAGCAGCGTATGTGATATATTATCAAACCCACGTGGCCATAGTCATCCATCTCTCCAAAGCAAACGCTCACAAGTTTTTCCCCGTTACACAGTCAACGAGCATTTCGAGAGCGCAAGGAACAGCACGTCCGCGATCTCGAAGACAAAGTAAACAGCCTTGAACAAGCGTCCGACACTTTACAAGCCGACAACGAGCGCCTGAAGCGCAAGCTAGCCCGGTTCACAACCGAGAATGAAATTTTGCGCGCGACATCACAACACGCCAACCGCGGAAACGCCAGTGCAAACGAGGACCCCGAGCGAACCGTCACAGGGCCGATGAAGTTCTCCCCCACAGACTTTCATGCTACATTCATGGCCCATGGTCGTCAAAGCCCGCACCACCGTCTCACTGTGTGTCCGATCACCGGCGAGAAGCTGCTGGATGCGGGTGCTACATGGGATCTTATTCAGAAACACGAGCTCTTTGAACGTGGCCAGCTTGATATCGGTGATGTCACGGAGCGTTTGAAGGGTATGTCGCAATGTGATGGACAGGGTCCTGCTTTTAAGGAGAGCCAGGTTCGTAAGGCTATTGAGGAGAGTGCGGCGGCTGGTTGTGATGAGTTGATCTGATGATTCCTCCGTGGTACCTTTTTTTCTTTCATATACTGCTGATACCGTTTTGATTTGATGTTGGCGTTGGGATGTATGGGACCAATAGGATGAACAGCGATTATATGAGATCTGATTCGTTGTTATATCAATATACATGTGACTTGGTTGCGCTGAGCAGTGTTTGAGCTATTCACACTTGAATTTTGTGTTTGTTAACGTGCATTGTGATGAGTGCCCATATAGTTTGCCAACTAAGTTGGGAGTACATTCATTGAGTATTGATGTCGACCCAATCGTCGTTTTTGGGAACCACAGATCGGCCATCCAAATGTCAAGAAACTCTCTACATATGTGGATATAGTAGTCATGGGAAGCTCAATTCAAATTGAGGCCGCGTTAGGTCTTACAGCATTATTCTCTTGGCTTCAGCCGGCATGGAAAGGGCGTCATCATCTTTTGGATATGTTCATAAATATACACACAGGACAGATTATATTAAATTTTGGAGTAATTTTCAATCGCAAGAAAATCAATCCCAGTCATCATCAAAATCCTCAATGTTCAGATCCTCGTCTTTCTTGTAGTCGTCCTCATCATCACGCTTCTTCAGACGAACATCACTCTCCTTCAAAGCACCAATCTCGACGAGCAGACTTTCAAGATCTATACATTTGATTAGCATAAAATCCACATTGGACTCCTGCCTTGAATGTGACTTACCTTCAATCTTGGTCCGGGGACCCTTCAATTGCTGGAGCGTAATAAGCTGCTTCTTTATCTCGGTATCCTTGTATGCCAAGATCGTGGGCGTGTTCTTCTCAGGATATCCCTCAATACACATGTCGGCACGAATCTCACAGAACTTGATATCGCCGAATTTGGCAGCAAGCTGCCGCCAGAGCTCCGTCAACACGCGCGATTCAACATTTCCACCCATCGATGTGAGATTGACTAGTACAAAAGCACTGTTCGATGCCTCTGTCACCTCACGGGCATAATCGACCTTCTGAAGTGGGATGACCTGATTAAAGAGGCTGGTTTGTTGGAGGTGGGAGAGCTCGGCGAGTCGTTTTTGCCTGTGTGATTGCTATCGTGAGCAAAAGGAGACAATTTCAGGTATACTGATTATTAGATAACAGGCCTACCGATAAATTTCGAGGAACTCTTCATCTTCGTCTTCTTCCAGTGCGTCTAGCTCGTCAAGGTCCTTGTCCTCAAGTCGGTTCTCATGCGCCCTGTGCTGTGCGGCGATCAGAGCCTCTTGGATTAGAGGTTCGGGATCTTTGGGCTTTTCAGGAATAATGCCATGCTGGCGGAGGATATCATTCCTATACAATATGGTTAGCACACTCCTTGGCTTATAGCTTGCCAGCGGCGGGGGGTTGGTGCATGTAATAGACTAACCACTCGGTATCCTCATTAGGGTTGACTTCAACCTGCATAGTGTATTGAAATGATCAACGACGTATAGATCAATTTCAATTCAAACGAAATATGGAGAGAATGGGGGGGGGGGGGGAAGATGGAGGGATAAATGCGCTGTCTTCAATCGTGATGCCACCTGTTTGCAGTGTTTGGTTCGGGCTAAACACACGGAAGGCCACCTTCAACTTGTCCATAGTTGGCTGTTCTGAGCTTTGAGGGTTCGAGATTAATTACCACCTCTTTTATCTCAATCTTATTCTCCTTTCTCCCTCCGATCTACCTTCGTTAAACCTCCAATTCCTGCGTGGATATGCATATGCTGTAGTCGCCTACACCGCCCTACCCTGCTTCTGTGTACTCGACCCGTGTCCCAACTGCACCAACTCCACCTTTTGAATACGACAGCAACCACTCATTGCTGGTGCAATCCAGCTGCTGGGCAAGATGAGTTATATGAAGAAAAACGAAGATGAAGACCAAGTCATGATCAAGCTTGATCGGACTTCCGTTTTCCAAGATGGTGTGCATTCAACAATCCCCCCCTGGCGCCTTCATGCGCTGCACATGTCCAGTGCTGACGATATAATTCTCCTAGCACGCCTATTCAACTCCTCTCCTATCTCGCCGCGAACATGCCGAACGTTACTCACCAAGATCGCTGTCCTCATGTTCACCGGGGAGCAGTTCCCTACGAATGAAGCCACCACCCTCTTCTTCGGAATCTCTAAGCTCTTTCAGAACAAAGACCCATCATTGCGGCAGATGGTGTATCTGATCCTGAAGGAGTTGGCCGGCACCGCCGAAGATGTAATCATGTCGACCAGTATCATTATGAAGGACACCGCAGTGGGAAGCGATATTTTGTACCGGGCCAATGCCATTAGAGCGCTCTGCCGCATTATCGATGTAGGTTGTCGGTCGCGAGGACTCCAATGGTTGAGGGGACTTGCTGACAATTGCAAAAGGGTTCCACAGTACAGGGCATCGAGCGACTCATCAAGACCGCCATTGTTGACAAGACCCCCTCGGTTTCCTCCGCGGCCTTGGTCTCTTCCTACCATCTCCTTCCCATTGCGCGCGACGTTGTCCGGAGATGGCAGAGCGAAACGCAGGAAGCGGCTTCGTCTTCGAAATCATCAACCGGGTTCCTTGGTTTCTCGAGCTCACAGAGCCACGCCATCTCCAACTCCAATTTCATGACGCAGTACCATGCCATCGGTCTTTTGTACCAGATGCGCTCGCACGATCGCATGTCTTTGGTCAAAATGGTACAGCAGTACGGTGCTGCAGGTGTGGTGAAGAGCCCGGCTGCTCTGGTTTTGTTGGTGCGTCTCGCGGCTAAATTGGCTGAGGAGGACCAAGGTCTCCGGAAACCCATGATGCAGATGTTGGATGGCTGGCTCCGCCACAAGCATGAGATGGTCAACTTCGAGGCAGCCAAGGCTATTTGCGACATGCGCGATGTCACCGATGCCGAGGCCACGCAGGCAGTTCACGTTCTCCAGCTCTTCCTGTCCTCTCCTCGGTCGATCACCAAGTTTGCTGCCATTCGTATCCTACATAATTTCGCATCTTTCAAACCACACGTTGTCAATGCCTGCAACCCCGATATCGAGTCCCTCATCTCTAACTCGAACCGCTCTATTGCCACGTTCGCCATTACGACACTGCTCAAGACCGGCAACGAAGCCAGCGTCGATCGTCTGATGAAGCAAATCTCGGGCTTTATGGCCGATATCACCGATGAGTTCAAGGTTACTATTGTCGAGGCTATTCGCACTTTGTGTTTGAAGTTCCCCAGCAAGCAGGCCGGTATGCTCGTTTTCCTGAGTGGCATCCTGCGGGACGAGGGTGGATACGAGTTCAAGCGCACTGTTGTTGAAAGCATGTTCGATTTGATCAAGTTTGTTCCGGAAAGCAAGGAAGATGCGCTTGCCCACCTTTGTGAGTTCATCGAGGACTGCGAGTTCACAAAGCTCTCGGTTAGAATCCTGCATCTGCTTGGTTCCGAGGGCCCCAAGACTACTTCTCCCACTAAGTATATCCGCTACATCTACAACCGCGTTGTATTGGAGAACGCCATCGTACGCGCCGCTGCTGTCACCGCATTGGCCAAGTTCGGTGTTGGCCAGAAGGACCCCGAAGTTAAGTCTAGTGTTCATGTTCTACTCACCCGCTGTCTTGATGACACCGATGACGAGGTGCGAGACCGTGCTGCCCTTAACTTGCGTCTGATGGGCGAAGAGGATGAGTCTGCGAGCGCTTTCATTAAGAACGGTAAGATCTTTTTCATCGCTGGCAGTAGTAAATTTACTAAATGGTTTAGACTCGATGTATTCCCTTTCTACCTTTGAACACCAGCTCGTCATGTACGTGACGTCTGGTGATAAGGAAACATTCGCTACTGCTTTCAATGTTGCCACCATTCCCGTTGTCTCACACGAGCAGGCTCTTGCTGAAGAAAGGACCAAAAAGCTTACCTCGGCCACGCCCACTCTCAAGGCCCCTTCAGCCGGTCCCCCGAAGGGCAAGGCAACCAGCGGTATGGCCGAAGCGGCCAGCGCCTCGGCTACCCAGAAATACGCAGAGCAACTTCTTCAGTACCCAGATATCAAGGCGTACGGTGTTTTGCTCAAGTCTTCTGCACCTGTCGAGCTCTCCGAGAGCGAAACAGAATATGTTGTTTCAGCTGTCAAGCACATTTTCAAGGAACACATCGTTGTGCAATACGATATTAAGAACACACTTCCAGACACCATTCTCGAGAATGTCACCGTGGTTGCCACGCCAGAGGAAGAGGACGTATTGGAGGATGACTTCATTATTCCTGCCCCCAAGCTGCCCACAGACCAGCCTGGTGTTGTCTATGTTGCTTTCAAGAAGCTCAATGGCGACAACAGCGTCCCCATCACCTCCTTCACAAATATCCTCAAGTTCACCAGCAAAGAAATCGACCCTACAAGCGGCGAGCCCGAGGACAGTGGCTACGACGACGAGTACCAGGTAGAGGACCTGGAGCTGACAGGCAGCGACTATGTCATCCCGACATTCGCCAGCAGTTTCGACCACGTCTGGGAGCAGACCGGTGCCAACGGCGAAGAGGAAAGCGAAACCCTGCAGCTCAGCAACATGAAGGGTATCAATGGTACGTACAATGCCCATCTCTCCTCCAACCCTCTGAATACTCATGCTCATATTCCTAATAGATGCCATGGAACAACTAATCTCAGCGCTATCCCTGCAGCCCCTCGAGGGCACCGACGTCGCTCTCAATAGCAGCACACACACTCTCAAGCTGTTCGGCAAGACCGTCTCCGGCGGCCGTGTCGCTTCTCTCATCAAGATGGCTTACTCCAGCAAGGCCGGTGTCACTACCAAGATCACCGTCCGGGCGGAAGAAGAGGGCGTTGCCGCCGCTGTCATTGCTTCTGTCTCTTAATCCCTCTCTTTGCTTTCCTATTTGTTACGTGCTTAATCCTGGTTGGGGGGACAAGAGCGTGTGTCTTTTTTTCATGTGTGTTGGTTCGTTAGATTGCGTCGTCCACCCCTCAAAACTTGTCAATGCAACTTTTTACCCAATATCATATCATGTCTATGCCTACTCTTGATGTTTATGGTGTTTCTTCGCAGTGTAGCACCCAGTAGCGTTTAGACCTCGATCGCAAGCTTGGTTCTTAACGCTACCGGCTGCTGTGTACAATTCGAGGTGACGAGAAGTTCTCGACCCAGAAGACTCTAAGGGTGTTTGCTTGATATCAGTCATAGTGTGGTAGTAGCTAGGCACTGCTATAGTAAAGAGTGTAGGATGTGATTGAAAGAAAAGTAAATTTGTTTTTATATACCTCTTGTAACGTTGTGAGATAGCTCCACGCAGCGCAAAATCAAGGACGCAGACGCTGAGGGTCACGAGGGAACAACGAAGCCAAACGGACGTTAGGCAAGCCAAGGAAGAACATGACGATACGGTTGAGGCCGAGACCACCACCGGCGTGAGGGGGACAACCCTGGCGGAAAGCATTGAGGTAATCCTCGAAGCCCTCCTGGTTAGGCTCCAGACCCTTAGCGCGCATGGATTCCTCCAACTCCGTGATATCGTTGATACGCTGGGCACCGGACATGATCTCCTCGCCACGCATGAAGAAGTCGTACGAGTTAGAGAAGCGCTTGTCGTTGGGATCGGCCTTGGTGTAGAAGGGACGGACAGCCATGGGGAACTTATCGAGGACGTAGAAGTCGGTGTCGTACTTCTCGCGAATGATCTGGCCGAGCTGCTTCTCCATCGCGGTGGAGAAGTCGTTCTCGAAGCGCTCTTGTTCGGAGACGTCGACGCCGGCTTCCTTCAGAAGAGCAACTCCATCCATGTAGTTCATGCGCAGGGCCTTTCCGTCCTTGGGAAGCTTGAAGTCACCGGCCTTGGGGTAGGATTTTTGGATGGTGGCGATCTGGGATGCGTAGCGCTCCTTGAGCTGGGTGAGGATGAAGACGAGGAGGTCTTCGGCGAACTCAAGAACCTCGTGGTAGTGGCCGCGGAAGGTCTTCTCGAAATCGAGACCGGAGAACTATAGGTCATGGTTAGATTATTCTGATTCCCCCCAGTTTGGACTTTTATACCAGTAGATCATACCTCGGTCAAGTGACGGTGGGTGTTGCTGTCCTCTGCACGGAACACGGGAGCGATCTCGAAGACATTCTCCATATCACCTGCGATACACATCTGCTTGTAGAGCTGGGGACTCTGGGCCAAGTAGGCATTGCGCTTGAAGTATTTCACCTCGAAGACACCGCTACCACCTTCAGTGGCGGCACCGACCAGCTTAGGTGTGAAGATCCACCGAGAGCCACTCTTAATCATGTACTCAGCGAAGAGCTCAGTAACACCGCTGGAAATCCAGGTGATGGCCTGACTAGTCTCCGTCTGCAGATCGAGGACCCGGTTGTCGAGACGGGTCTTGAGGGTGACGATGGGAGCACCCTCGGCGTCAACCTGGGCACCTTCGTCGGTGTTCTCAGGAGGAGGGCGTTCAGCGTCTTTGACTTGCATTGGGAGCATCTGCGCAGCCTCGGAGATCATGTAGACCTTGCGAATGTGGATCTCGAGGTGGCTGATGGATGCGGACGAGATAGGGATCTCAGGCTTCTTCACAATACCGGTGATCTGCACGATCGAGTTGACGTTCAAGCCGCCGGTGTATTTGATCATCTGTCGTGAGATGGGCTCTGCGGCTGCAATGACAGCCTGCACTTTTTGTCCCTGCTGGCGCAGCATCAAGAATGCAAGCTTAGCACTCTGCACACGCGCATTGTCCACACGCGCCACAACTGTCACTTCCTTCTCGTAGTGTTCCTCAGAGAGTTCGCTGAATTTTGTAGAGGGGACAACATCCTCGGTCTTTGGGAGGGCACCGTAAAGGCCCTTAGCCGTGTCGTTGGCCTCTTGGGCGGCGGCCTGGGCCTTTTCTTGCGCCGCACGCGCAGCGGCCTTCTCCGCCTTGGCCTTATCCTTTGCGGCCTTCTTCAGAGCGTTCTTGCTTGCGTTCTTGGTCTCACCTTCCGCAGCGGGAGCGGAGGCATCCTGGGCCTCGGGCTTGGGACGGTGGGGCAGTTCGGAGTCAGCCATGGTGCTGCGAGGACAATTAGAGGGAGTGAATTGTTGAGTTTTGAGGCGGTAGATCCTACCTCAATATTATTATATCCTGAGAGATTTGCAGGACTTAATGCGGCAGGCTGATTGTAGGTAGAGCTGCAGAGAAAAGTGTTCCGTTGACTCACCCCGCCGAGCAATCAAGCCCTAAGAGGGGTAGGCGGTGTGGGGACTGAGTGCATATCTAAACTCTACCAGCTTGACTGTAAACATACATGCATATAAACCGCTTAATTGAACGTTTGTAATTACTTAGTAGCTTAAAGAGGATCTATAAGACGTGCTTGTATGCTTGGCGATGGTAACTATCTAGAATAAACACAAACAAAACATGCAATTGGCGCCATTTCATGCTGATCTTGATGTCAGTATAGAGTGCCCAACGTCCCTTGACAATTGCGCAGCAGGCCAGTTCGAGCTCTTCAGCGCCCACTGAACACCTTCTTGCACATTGTCGGCAATTGTCTGAGGAACCCAAGCAGGCTCTCCGCCACTGTAAACCCCGGTGCGAACAAGGATCGAGTGCCAGCTACTGCCAATTTCACTGCGATAGGAGTTGGCTCCACGAATATCCGATTCCGGATTATCACCGACCATGTATACTCTTTCCAGGGGCGTGCGCTCTGCAGAGCTTCCGAATGTTCTCAGTCGGTTCCGAAGCAATTGACGCTCTGCAAACTCGTAGGTAGGCTGATAAGGTTTGCCGATTACGGTCTTCTTCAACTCAATGCCCTTGCTAGCTCCACCTGTAGTCGCAGCCCAAACACCCTCAAGCGCTTCTCGGAACCCACCCTGACCAAGGCGAGGCAAGGGGTAGGCGGCGGCCCACCACAGATCTGGGTTTGAGAAGTACAGGTGGGGTTGGCCATCCTGCTGGTATCCATGGTTGGGAAGATCCTGTCGGCCGTTCTTTTCAGACAAGGTGCCCATGCGGCCTTGTGACGAGAGGAGGAGGTCCATAATAACCTGAGTGTCCAATGCCCAATCACGAGGGTCATTGAAAACAAAGATAGCGTCAATCTTCAGAGTTTTCAAAGGATCATTTAGGTCAATGGGAGTCGGAAGCGGTCGAGCAAAAGTTCCATAATAGTCGCTAAAGTTCTTCGAAAACGGCCAGACAGCAGGGTTAGCCATGAGAATATCCGCCGGGGTGACAACATTCTTAAACCCATACCTATCACTATTGCTTAGAACATAACATCCAGCAACAGGAAGGGGTTCTTGACGTACTGTTCTGCCACGCGCCGACAGTTATCCCCATCACCTCCGGCCACCAACACACACTTGTGCTCCAGAGCGCTCGACTCATCCGATCCCTTGACCAGCTCAGCAAATGGCGAGTGACTCTGCACGATGTCCGTAGCATCCAGTGAGATCCCTAGTTTCTCGCTAATTTCTGCAACACGCTCTGTCTCGTGTTTACCGCCGCCATTGGTGAGAAGAAGAAAGGGGATGCCTTGTTCCTTCAGGAGAGCCAGCGAGTCGGCGGCACCAGAAATAGGTTTTGATGCGCGAAGAAGGACGCCATCGATGCTATAGCATGTGAGAAGAATTTCGAGTAGATTTCGTTCGCTGCTCCAGACTTACTCGAATGCAAATGCGAAATTGGGGACCGGTCGTAAACTAGCAGTTTGAATAGCCCGGCGGGTGAAGGTTTTACAAGAAGAGAGAGTTTGGCGCTGCAATAGGCCAAATGACCGCCAAAGGGGCTGCGATCTCATTGTGGTAGTGCCTAGGTAGTCCTCGGGAATGTGTACAAAGGGAAATGTACGTCATTGCCAAGTTCCCGTGCGGCACGATCTTTCCCGTGGAATTTCTTGGTCCCCACTCTCCACATCTACGACCTTCGACACTTCCCTTTGATTCGAAGCTTTAAAAACAGGGACTGGGATAATGAATCAAACAAGGAATAAAAGTCAACTGAATGTTAGCTGAGCCGGGGTTTTCGCTATGGGTGCATCATTATCCTTTCAGAACATGAATCTTCCGGTTCAACTAGTGCTGTCGCTTCATCAAGTCTGTTTTACAGGTTGTGACAGGTTGTGTTATATCATATCACCCAGAAAATAGCTGCTGCGGGGGTAACATAATTCACAAAATGCCGAAGTAAACAGAGAATCGTCCTCGGTTGTATACAAAATTGCATAAGAATGCATGAACTCTTAATTTGGCACCTTATCCATGACAACGAGACCCAAGTCAAAAAGAGAATCAAGTTCCTCCTCAGGACACTTATCAATATTCTTCCACACCCACTTGTCAATTTTGGCATGTGATGCTTCCGGTATTACCTCCAGACAGCCAGGGCTGATACCAAGATAGCATACTCGAGAGAGGTTCATTTTCAAGGCCTTGCAAATATCATCGGGATCAATCTCCGTAGCAAAATTATCAAAATCTGAATCCGTGAGCTCTAGCTCACGGATGGAAATTGGAGAATCCATTGGATCAAAGGCAGGAAGAATGAGTAAATCGTAAAGCAGATCAACGGGTATCCGAAGAGACTTCAAAGCAACAAGTGCCGATAAGATATCGGACGGACCCTCCTCAAACATCTTGCGGTTCAAACGGTGAATGGTCAATCGAGTAAGTGTGTTGCATAGCTGCTCATTCAAAAGGATCTTTTCCAGGACGGAAGTGTCCAGACCCTCGCAGCCAAAAAATGTCAACCCTATCAACTTGGGGGGCCACCTGAATGAAGACATTTTCTCGATGTCAAATTGCCCGCCAACCTGGAGATGCTCTATGTTGGGTGGCCAATCTTCACTAGAACCGTCATCCGTTATGAACGTTGAAGATGAAAGCTGGAGTAATTTCAGTTTGTCGAGGCTGCTGATGGCTTTCTTGATAGCCGAAAGAGGAATTGGCTCAGCTACCAAGCTAAGGCAAAGATAGGTAAGCTCCTTGCATTTTGCTAAGGGCGCAAGGCTATTTATTCTACAGAGAGAAATTAGCTTACGGCCTGATGGTATGTTGTGATATCCAATGTTAACTCACGCAAAAGAGACCCTCGGAGCAATGAAAGTCTTGAGGTTCTTTTTCACTTGACCTAGGAGCCGTGCCGTCAGACTATTGGAGCTGTGATGTACCAATGCTCCGAGGTTCAGGTCCTTAACGAACGAGCCCAGATTCACTTTACGTTCTCGGGAGCGGATTGGTGGGCACACAGTGTTGGTGAAAAGCAAGAAGCTATTTCCTTCATCAAGTTGAGGTCGGGAGTATAGATATTCAATGCCAGCAGAGTACCACTGGCGAGAGACAAAACAGAACCTTTGAAGCGTGACTTGGGAAATGCGAAGATCAGGACTGTTCGACCCATATTGAATGTGTTCGGCGATCAGTGTTAAGACCTCTGTAGGTAGGTGAACATATCGGCGAGAAGTCAAGACTTCGGAGGAATCGACCAGCCTTGGCATTTTGCAAGTTGAACAAACAACGGGGTTTCAAATATGCATCGTAAACCGAGTTGCCAGTGTGTCTGAAATTTTGTGTATGGTATCTCGTGACAATCAGGGATGAAGATGGCGACAAAGAGGCAACAGAGAGACCGAACCGCTTCCGAGAGAGGCAAAGACACAGGTCATCTCAAGTGAAGCGGGATTGTCAGGTCAATTTCCTTCACTCGATTGAGGAACAGAGTAGAAAGAACTGCCAATTGAGACTAGTAGAAAAAGGCGGAAGGAGATGGTGTGGTGAGTAAGTGATAAAAAAGACATGAGGGGCGGATTGAGAATCAACAATTGAAGATGCAAGTGAAGATAGGCCGATGACGATCCTTATCTTTTTTTTTCTGGCAGAAATAGGCCCCCGCCCTCGATAAACAATCTGGATCACACCGCCTTTTATTTCCTCATGCACATGCACATTTTAATGTTGGACTTAAGATTATGATAGCTGAGTAAAACTGGAATCATTTTTCTCGGAAGATTAAAATCAATATCGATTGTCCTAGGAGTCTTTTTTCATGTTGAGAAAATAGGTGGTCAATTCCGTATTTGTCGTAAGAACTAGAAGCCGGTCTGCAGACTGGCCCAAGCTCCTTCGATTCTACAGGGCTACCACCTTCACACAACTATGCCCAACAAGAGAAAAGCCACCATGTCGCCCCCCTTCTTGAAACGTCCTCGGATATCTTATGACGAAGAAGATGTCGAATTTTCGACGGCATCTCATGAGCGTCCCCGTCATAATCCTCTCTATGGCCAGAAGAGCGCATTCCCCGGGTTGGATGATGGAGGCGATGAATTGCTGTACGACGATCCGGAGGATGGATTGGAATATCTACGCATGGTTCGGTATGTCTAACTTTGGATCGAAAGAGCTTCTCCTTTGCCCCTTGAATGACGCCGAGACTTTCCCAGTTCTCCGCCTGTCTTAATTCAAATTTAAACTAATTTTTTGCTTGATAGATCCGAAGCTAACTCATTACCAATCCTTTTTTCTGCGCCTACTGAGACCACAGACCCTTCAAATCAATCTTCGGACAGACAACGTGATCTGAAGCAACTTGAACCAAATAACCCTCTGCCAGCAGGCTTTTACGAGGACGAAGCCTATATTGCTCCTGCGAAGGATGTCAACGAAATCAAGGCCGCAAATTCCCCTTCAAAACTCGATGAACTCTATTCCGATGCGCAAAAATCCTACAACAATCTTCTCCGACATCGATTCCTCCTCTTGCGATCGACCCTACGATGCAGCCCACCCGCTGGTGCCATCAGCACCCTTGACAATGACCACCCTATCAGTCTCCCCCGAAAGGCTGGATCTGCGCACAAAATATGGCGCCGGCTTTTAGTTACTGTCGAACCGCGCATGGTTCAACTGGCAAGCATGGACATGGACAGCGTGTTAGAAGTGCTAGAAATACTAGCACGGATGATGTCTGATGTTGTGCGAGGCGACGACACCCAGCGCGTACGGCGCATTGGTGCTTGGGCTTGGGGCTTGTTGGGGAAGTGCCGCGAGGTGGGGCAGCTTTCTACCCGAGAGGTGGGAGTTGTTCGAAATATGGGCAAACGAGCCGCGACAATTTTGCGCAAGGTGCAAGAGCTAGAGAAGGACGAATATGAGGAGGAGGGGGGGGGAGGGGGAGGAGGAAGAGGAGTCTGAAGATTCCGTAGTAGATCCATCAAAGAAGGAAGCTCAGCAGAGCAATCTCGTCGATGATGAGAAAGATACCACGGAAGAAGTTCAGCAAGGATCTACAGTCCAGGATGAGGACGCGACCAAGCAAGAAACTCAGCCGGAACCTACAGTTCAAAGTGAGGAGGAAACCAAGCAAGCAGAATTGCCGGAGATTGCAGAAGCACAAGACTCTAGCATGTCTGATGCATCGCTTGAAGAATCCAACTTGGAGGTAGCCAAGGCGCGCTTGCAGGCTCGACTGCAGGACAATTCCGACTCCGTGGAGATCCCTGCTAGCTGCGAAGAAGAAGAAGCAGAAGAAGAAGAAGAAGATGACGATAATTGGTCGATACAAACCCATGCCCTGCTCGACATGATCATTACGGTTGTCGGTGAGTTCTTCGGCCAGCGGGATCTGTTGCAGGAGCGAGAGGTCTGGGGTTAGATGTATTTGATTTGCATGTATGAGATACCCATTGTCGTTAAAAAAATTAATTCCGTGTTACAACGTGCCAATATCTTGTGTTCTATACGTAGTGCCTGATCATAAGACATTCGGGTCCTACTGGGCTAGTCTAACTAAGCTTTCCTAGGTAAGCGGCCCCAGTGACCTCAACTCTTTCTTTTCGACACCTTTTTCTTCCAATTCTAATCAAAATGGCTCCAACCGTTGAGATAGCGATCCCGAATACCACCCTCTCAAACACATCCCCGCCATACGCTCTCTACCACATCACCCTCCGCCTCCCGCTCCGCTCCTTCACGGTCCCCAAACGGTACTCGGACTTTGCAACTTTCCACAACACCCTTATCTCCCAAACGAATGCCCTTCCACCAGCTCCCTTGCCTTCAAAAAACTGGTTTTCGAAAACAGCCTCGAATGATCGATTACGTGAAGACCGCCGCCGCGGTCTAGAGGAGTACCTTCGCGCAATCAACGAGTCCGAAGATGGGCGCTGGCGCACCTCGCCCGCGTGGCGTGCATTCCTTAACCTCCCCACCGCAGTCACATCAGCGGGCACCCGAGATATAAACACTTCCGCCCGACTCCACGCCGCAATCACAGATCCAGCTGCTACAAACGCACCGATCACAGACCCGACGCTATGGCTCGACTACTACCGCGACATGAAAAACCACCTCCATGATGCACGACTACAACTATCTCGCAGAGACCAGGAGACGACTCCACAGAAGCAACACGAGAGCTCTGCACAGGCGAAGGGCAGTCTTACCCGTGCGGGAACAATGATCACCACTCTAGACGATGGACTGAAAAATCTAGGACGCGGAGAGCAGAGCTCCCAGTCACAGTCATCGTCCATTCTCGGTGAAGGCGAGATCCGCCGAAGAAAAGATCTGCTTATCAATGCGCGCAAGGAAAAAGACGGTCTGGAGGATCTCTTGCATGCCATGGCAACTAAGAGCCGGCTTAATCATACTGTCGCATCCGTCCAAGATAAAGGGGCTTTAATCAATGCTGGGAACGCCGCTGGAGATGTGTCTAGTGGTCGCAAGACTCCGGCACGGGCTGGCAGGGTCCTCGGCAAAGAGACGGAGCGGACTCGAGAACTTGACAACGAGGGTGTGCTGCAGTTGCAGAGGCAAATGATGCAAAGTCAGGATGATAATGTGGATGAGTTGAGGAAGATCATTTTCCGGCAGAGGGAACTCGGCACGCAGATTAATGACGAGCTTGAGGTGCAGAGTGATCTACTGCGGTTAGCGGATGAGGAAGCTGACATGTTCGTCCACGCCCTTTTCTCGGTTGTTCTACTTGTTTTGGTCTACTTTACTAACGATATATCTAGATTGAAATCCAAGATTGATGTTGGAAGGAAGAGGATCGAAAAGATCTCTTGATTTTGGCCGGGCATGGTTTCCATTCTGCGTAGAGGAATTCTTCCATCTATACCTTGGTGCGGGTCCTTTCAGCATCATTCAGACCAATCTGTTTGCAGATAACACAGTGATAATGTGAACGAACCTTCTTCTACTTGCCTGGATCTCTTTTTGACCAGTAGTAATCCTCTCAAATGGGTAAAAGGTGCAGACTCCCATCCTCAGTCACTTCAATTCGGACTTGGTCGAGCCTATCCCTTCAGATTCCCCCAGGGACTTTCTTTCTGATCAATTGTCTCAAGCATAAACTTGAGCACTGCTGCACCACCCAGTCTCATACATGCTAAGAAAGGGTCGTTGTGATGACACTCTTGGCATGTCGCAACTCTGTACTGCGAATTGAATTTCCAGGGAGGATGGCCACTTGGCGTGGATTTTGATTTTAAATATCCCGGTGTTGGGACTGGGAACTAACCGTCTACTCCTGAATAGTGAGCCGGGGTGGGGCATTGGCATGCCTTTGCCACGAAAGCACTTCCGTAGTCACCATATTCAGCGAAGATATGCACCACGACCTGGTACAGGTGAGTTGTGGTACGATAACCCCGTTCCCCGAGAACAGCACCATGGATTAACAGAAGATCAAGGATTTATGGTCAGCCGTTTACGGCAACTTGGTAGAGTGCACTCCACCGACCCACATCCGGATGGGGATTCGCTCCATGTTCTAAGAGTACTTCCCCGATCTCCACGTGGCCGTTGGCAGCCGTATAAGAAAGGGTCGTCTGACAAAGAAAAGGTGAGGTTGTCAGGGATCTGCCCCGTATTCCAGGAGCAGTTTGACTGCCTCGAGGTGCCCTATTGTAGCGGCAGACATAATACATGGCACTTCAGCCGAGATATCAGCCCCTCTAGCAAGAATTCAGCCAGTCTCGTATAACTCTGACGGACTAGCAGCATAGAGAGGTGTCTCGTGTAAGTGTCTGCTTCGATCGTTGTTAGAGGCGTAGCCAGCGTCGATGAGAATTTGCACAACGGCTAGGTATCCGTTGTCTGCTGCCACGGCGAGCGATCGTCTCAGGTTGTAAGCGCAGGAGTGTGTGTGGAAGCTTCAGCATCCAGTGCTCGGCGGCTTTCACTTTAGAGCAATGCTTCGCTACCCAGACCAGGGGGACACCGTGTAATAAGCTGCTGCTGTTGTCAAAGAGGGCTGGGCTCAGCAGCAGATCGACATGGCTTGCACTCAAGAGTTGAGGCAAAGTGCTTCCTTGAGAAACTTGGCAAACCTGTATCTGATCTCAGCTGAGAGGGGTGTGTGAGAGACATGGAGGATACTATGAGGAATCAACGGGAGTGATGCCCCCCATAAGAATCCTGTCGTTTTACATCCGATCAATATACGCTAGCACCATGATGTTCTTTAAACAATTGAGTACAACAACATCGAAGAGAAAAAAAAGCTATTTTAGATGATGTTTGACAATTTGATACAATAGCTTTGCAAATGAATCTGAATGGCAGTAAAAAAAAAGGCCTGCCCTCGATTGGATTTTGGATGTATATTCAGACTTGCATAGTGATGAGTTTACCGTAGTAACCGTAGTAAATGCATTTCAGAGCGTAATTGTGCACTGGATCAGGCTTCGAAGAGCCACTATTTAAAAAAAGAACACACTACCTGGGACAAGGAAAAGAAATGCATAAGGAAACAAATGATACATCTCAACAAAAGGGTTGAAGGTGATAATCCCTGCCACGAATAACAACCCGAGAGAATCACCTCCTACAGAGTATAGCCTGAGGATAGAATCAAATCTGCATTTAGAGACAAAGAAGACTGAATGAAGGTAGTCACGAGAATGCAGGCAAGGAAAAGTAGGTTGTCTCTAGAAAAATGGACGCTATGGATGAGAAGCTAAAAGAGAAGGATCAGGGAGCAAACGAGGGAGATTGCATCTGGTATTATACGGCGGCCTGCATCTCCAGGCAGGGGCAGCCCGAATTGATTCGGGGCCGGTTGCACTATCTCTGACGGTACGATGCATATAGTACAGGACTCGGCTTCTTCTCAACACGATACGATACGTATATTCATTCTAAACAAGCAGACGTATAACATTGTGTACATGCGAGATATTGGACCAGCTCTAGAGTTGATGGTTTCCGGGGGAGTTTTGCCATGAAACCAAAATTGGCATCGGTCTTGGGTCATAGAGGCTCCACGGAAGTCGACACATCAACAGACTGAGTCACTCCTATGCCATCAAATGCTAATTTTGGCGGACCTCGCTCACTATTACCGCGGATGATTGTCTCAATCTTCGAATTTCCCTGCAAACTGTACATGAGCACATCATCATCTGAACTGGCCATCGCCCTAGCATTCATTTGATTGTCGCTTCGGCTCCTTGTGCTCTGGTTTCGCAAGCTCATTTTGTACTTGGACTCACGGGTTGCTTTGTTGCTAGAAAATTTGTGGTAGATGCGAACGATGAGAGTCGAGAGGGAAGGGAGACAGGTGCAGATAATGCCGATAGAGACTTCTGCGTTACTAGAAATGATGACTCAGTTCGAGTGCATAGTCAAAAGATCAGGCGAGAAGAACATACCCCAGCATGTTGATTCTCATAAACGCCCGAGAAACATCCGCCGACTGTCCGGTCATGACAATTAGTGCCAACCGGACGATACTGGCCGTCACAGCCAGGCCGCCCGCCCCCAAAATCACCATCACGCGCATCCTTTTCTTCGCAGAGACTTGCAGAGTCCACGTCAAAGGAAATGGCAAGAGGAGAATGATCACGTCACTGAATACACTGACGACGGCATCAGTCAAGATAATCGACGTCTGGTCTAAACATATGCCATCAATCCTCTGGTCCCAAAATTTGGCGATGGGGCTGCAGATTCGTATCTTGACAATGACAGCGGGGATGGAGTAGGCCAGCATGAGACCCATAAAGATCTTAATAAATCGGACGCATTTTTGGAAGTGGTTGAAAACACGAGTCATGATCCAGAGGAGGCACACTTTGGTGAGATAGGCTGTCGGGCCATACATGACCATCGTTACGTAGATAGTCTAGACCGTCAGAAGTGGACATGGTCGAGCGTGCAAGTGCTTTGCATACCTTTTGGAACGGGATCTTTTTCTCATCGGGGACATCCCACCAGTGTAATCCTCCTCCATAATGACCCACTGTCCTTGCCGTTAGATACAGCTTGTCGCCGGTAGAACTAGAGACATACTGAGGAGGGCAATGATTGAGTACCAGACACCGAGAACCTGTTTGAGATGTTCTGTCAGTCCACGTTGCCCTCTTTCCATGTGGTGGTCCCTACCCAGGCAACTGTACATGTCCCTAAGGGTTGTTAGTATTTCTGTGCCCTGTGCAAGTCCATAAGGAGGTTTCACCGACAATCCTCCTTCCCAAATCCGCTGAGAATAAACAATCTAGTATAAGCACGAAGACCGAAGAAGCCTGTCATACCAAGGATGCATAAGGACTGGCAGGCGTAGTTCCATCTCTGCACACTCCAATCAATGGACACACCTCCACCGCTCCGTTCTATCAACGACATAGAATACACCAAAAGTCTTTCTGTAGGGCGACAGTCACCGGGTCCAGGTTTTTCAAGGCGACCCCGACTTTAAGCCATACCATTATAGCATCTGCAGTCCAGAGCCTAGAAAATCGAATCCCTGAAAATCGGGTTCACAGATCCTGGTTTCAATTGTTAAACGGACGTGCTTTAACGAGCTGCAGTGTCGAAATCAGGCTATTGATCACCCATGATCGGCTCTTTTGAAATGGGAGAGCAAACAGAAACCGTTATCTGGGGGCTAATTCTTGATGCACGAGGTCCATGAAGGGTACAAGGGTTGATTGTTTTCTGCCGTTGTCGTTTGGCACGACAATCCAAGATATTTTAACGTTGTATCATTATCTGCCACCTATATTTCTTCGCTGTCAGAAAATGTTATAAAGTGCCGAAGTAAAGTCAGTCAAAAGCTTAGAGCAAAAGCTTGACCCGAGCATATGCACAAATGGCTCGCATCTTTCTTGAGATCGATTTTCAAAATGAAAACCAGACTTGAGATTGAGTTGGTCTATCAACCGGCAGAATCCACAGTCTACTCTTCTATTTGATCCCTTGGCAATTGCACCGTACATGATAATGACTGGTAGTGTTTGCTAAGCGACTAGTGTAGCAAAGTCTATCGTGCCGATGGGTACATACTAGTTCCTTTTCCAGTGGTACGTTCGCTCCACGCCTTCGGCCAACCTACAATGGAATTGACTACGTATTCATGGCAATTGATTGTCCCCGGGTTTAGGATTCTCTACTTTGCAGCGAAGAGAGTATGACATTTACATATTTGAAGCGGGGCGGCACCGCTCGAGTCACTAGCCGGTCAATCAGGTTCCCATGCTAGGGAATCTTGCCTAGTGCCGGCAGTAATCGGACGATTGACCGTGTGGCCAACCACTCCATGCATGTTACAGGTACGGTGGCCTCTGCAGACAAGTTGGACCTAGAAAATAGCCATCACATTTGGAGGCGGGGAAACCCCACCGGGCATGTTCAACGGCACGGATGCCACGAAAAAGCTCCACCGCTGGAGTTCTTGACAGGTGCGTGCCAGCGCCTCAAGATCGAAGAGTTCCCCTGTTGTTTGTTGGTCAATACAATGGATCTGTGCAGCTCGTAGAAAAGCGCTCCGGCAGCTTACCGATCGGCATTCCCCAACCAGCGAGCACATATTCATGGAGGAAGATGTCAGGGGATTGTGGTGGGTAGACCTGTGGGTCTGTCAGTTAATTGCCTTTGGGGGTCTAACCGTGCCAAGCGCCCAACTACCCATCCTGGGTAGTTGGGCGCTTGGCACGGTTATACGAACGAAAAGGATATCCCCCCTTTGGAACGTGATGTTGTTCTCCTCGGCATTTTCAAGAATGTCGGCAAACCGCACTTGGTGGGTCGAGAACGTAGTATATTCCATCCCTTTTTTCTCAGCCCATGTAGCGTAGTCTATCAAGACTCCACGTCCTATTGCAATGGTGTGAGATAGCATCAGGGGATTCAGATGAAGGGGATACACACCTGCAATTCCCTCTCGGGCCCAATGTTGAAGACCAATGCGATCATTTTGGCGATCATTTTGGCGATCACTTATTTCTTCACTGGTTGTTCCACCATAGAACACCCGTTCAGATTGACCGGGCACTGTCTGCGAAAAATGGCGGAGGGGGTATCGAAGAGAGTGTGTGCCATTGTTCCGTTCCTCCGTTGTTTCTGCTGGTCAGGTTATGAGCAAAGGTTATAAGGCCCGGGATGCGGCAGTAAAACTAAAATTGCGCAATAAGATACATACTTCGTAGTATGAAGCGCAAGGTCCCTTTTCTTAGGCAGGTAGGTAGGTAGATTTAATTAACGTCCGGCAGGGAGCAAGCTTTCGCTTGCTCCCGCGACCT